TTCTGCAAAAAGGAAAAAAAAAAAAAAAAAAAAAGAAGAAAAAAAAAGAAAAACGGAAAATTTATTTCCCCCACGTTCGCAACATTTTTTATTTACAAACCCTGTGAAATTAAAATCGCCCCTCCGACATACGCGCGTATTATATATATTGCCCTTTCCGCTTTAGCCTGTGCGCAAAATTACGGGAGCATGTGCATTCCATTTCAACTGTTCATGTTGGTACTTTCTCGAAATTTTTCTCCTTTCATCAAATTTAATTTTTAAAATTGTACGAAATGCAAATTTTAAAATGGGACAAATACAAAAGTTCATGTAACCATTTTTTTTTTTCCGGAGGTTCACAGGTTGACAATTAACCCCATTCCTCCTTACTATATATTTATGTACACATATGCATGCGAATGTGCGTACGTACATATATGTATCTACCTGCCAATCCGTAGGGATGCGCCCTTGTGTTCATGCAATTTATGCGTATCCATCCCTTACGTGCTTGCCATAACGTGGCAACACACTGTGCTGACCGTTGCTCGACTTTGCAAAATTGGCCAACACAGCTCCTCACCGACTATGCTACACCTACCCACCCCCAAAACGCGTGCCAAGATAGGCACATAAATAGTGTCCCCTCCGTACCCAACACCTCGGCAAACGTGTGGAATGGCACAATAATTACATAGCGACAAATATATATTGCATAACTTCAACGTTGCAATAATGTGTGTGTGCGTACCGCCAATTTGCTGCCCCTCTTTTTAAGCAGCTCGAAAAATGGGTCAGCAGCCAACCTGGGGGATTCCAAGTACACTGCACTCCAAGTCGCCATATATACTAACGTAGCGTCACGTGGCTTGAAAAAAAAAAAAGTCTCGATGGGCCTCGTTAAAAAGGGATGCAACGTGTGCAGGCATATCCGATGCGGGGGAGGAGAAGCATTCAATTCTCGTTGCATACATCAGGGCGTACCACCCGAACGTACAACTGGCCTCACCGCTGATCTCTCCCCAAACGCGAGGGGACATCATTGCCGCGAAGAATGAACCTGCTAACCTTACTTTCAATCGCAACGTGCTTTACGATAGGAACCGCATTTCTGCACAAAAGGATCAACTACAAGCGGACAGGACATGCGCGAATAAGCCACAAACCAACGACCATACAATATGATCATGCCCTTTACAAAGCCAATACAAAAAAGGGAGTAAAAAAAATTTACTCTTTCAAAAGACACGTATCAGAGATATGGAATAACATTAAAACGAGGAGGATAGAAAATTATATGGAAGATTTTTTTCAAACAAAGCAAGTAAAAAATACGCTTCAAAATAACTTCCTTTGTTTTAAACACCTATTTAATAAGTGTAAGTTGGACAGAATAATTATAGCTGTTAATGTGGCGCTATATCTTTACCTGAACAGAATTGATAAGGATGATGAAAAAAGGATATTTTTTCACAAAGGGAATTTATTGGAGGTGAAAGAACAAAAGGCAGAAAAATACAAATGCAATTATCACGATGTTTATAAAACAAAAAATTTTAAAACATTTTTCACTTCCCTTTTTATACACAAAAATGTTTTGCATTTATATTTTAACATGAGTTCGCTAATTTCCATATATAAAATAATTTCGCTAATTTACACGAACACACAAATATTTGTTACATTCCTCTTGTCAGGTGTCCTGTCCAATGTTATATCATACATTTGTTACTTGCGAGAAAAAAAAGAAAACGTGCTTTTGAAAAATTTAATTTTAAAAAATGCGTCAAACGAAAATAATATCCTTGTGAATAAAAATAATAAAATTATATGTGGAAGCAGTTCCTGTATTTATTCTCTTTATGGAATGCATATGACATATATTATATATTTTTACTTTAAACATAATTATATTGTGAACAGCAATTTTTTGTACAATTTTTTTTATTCATTCGTTTCATCTTTGCTTCTCGAAAATGTTAGTCACTTGAACCATATGTTGGGCTTCCTCTGTGGCTTTTTCTTCTCCTCCCTCATAGTGCTCTTTGATAGGAATGCCTAACTGGGTATCCGCACGTACGTCGTGGTGATGCCCTTTACACCTTTTTGCCTCTTAATTCGACTCACGGGTGATAACCCAGACCAACTCCTTTTTTTTTTTTTCCCCTCTTAAATGACAGTTTTACAAGCACTCAAGCTTTTGTCCGTCCAGCGTGTCACACGCACCACGCGTACTACTCGGTAGACAACTGAAACCCTTCAACAAGATAAAATCGCTTGACATAGAAATATGCCCGCCACGCAAGCGACGTAAAAGAGCACACATTGCAAACGTGCGCTCTCACCATGCACATGCCGTTGCCGTTGTCAAATGGGGAAAATGTAAAAGAAGGGTTGCGGAAAATAAAACAGACTGTAAAATATGCGAATTAGAAATTTGCACACAGGTTACTGTGTAGTGGGACGAATGGCGCCATATAAACATATGGCTGCGTAATGAGTTATCAAAAAAAAAAAAAAAAAAAAAAAAAAAAAAAAAAAAAAAAAAAAACGAAACAACTGAATGCATCATTTTGGAACACTCAAAAAAAAAAAGGAAGTAATACGGACATCACTTCTAAGGCGACAAAGTTTTTTTTCCCTCGCAATGGGTATCAACATGGGTGGGCTGCTAAACGGGCACGCCGCCGTGATCCGCGCAGCGCTGCTCACTTAAACTCGTTGAGGATCGCGTCGTAATTCTCGTCCTCATACACATGCGGGTTGTTAGCCAACAACGCCTGAACCATCTTCGGGTCGTGCATTTCGAGTATCCCCTTTTTGGCATTCAGGATCTGCTTGACTTTACAGAACAGGAGTAAAAACAGCGCCTTGTTCTTTTTCAAATTGGTTAAACTGAAGGGCAGCTCGTCGGTTATTCTTAGAAAGTAATTTTCCTCTTGCTGCGCGTGGTTCTTCTCTTCACCGCAGTTGTCTACAGAGGGAAATGCGTGCAAAAAAAAAAAAAATGAAGTCACATGGGTACACGCACTACAGTCGCTCCTAAGTATAATTCAAACGCTATATGATAAGTGTACACCTACCTGCGTAGCTGTGCAAAACGAAGGACAAGCTATTCTGAGTGAACACCAATTTGTTATAGAGCAGTTGCCGCTCATCCTCATCCATTCTGCCCCTTTCCTTTGTAAAGGTATACACCTGCGCGTTGATAAGAAAAAAAAAATAATCCACCAAACGCAAGGTAATATCCGTGTGTGCAATTTTACACAAGTCCTGAATTTGAAAAAACTCAAAAATGATATTCACTATTTTGGACATGTTGATTAAGAATTGCTCCTCCGTGAAAAGTGTATCCTTCTGGAGAAGGCGCGTAAATTTGTCCTTATAAATTTTTACAAACATATTTTTAAAAAAATTCAAATTTATTTGGAACTTATCAATATACAGGTGAATCTTCTTCAGTATGCTCATTTTGTTTATACAATGCAAGTACTCTTTTGGGGGACAATTCGATTTTTTTTTTTCTTCATTTTGTTTGAGAATATATCCCTCTGCACGTAATTTTGTACCTTTTGAGTTACAATCCTTCCTATCCTTCTGTTCACTATTTGTGATGTGACCACCCTTTATGTGCTCTTCGTCGGCCCATTCGTTGCTTCCCCTTTGACAGAAGCCACCATCCTCCCTCAACTGCACATTTTTAAAAGAAATTATGTCATCTACACACATGGACAAATTGAACAAATGCTGATGGTGCAAGAAAACAGAATAAACATTTTGCAAAACCTTTTTTAAAAATATATTATCATTAATTACGCTCAACAAAAATTCATTTTCACATGGCACCTTCGGAAAACAAGAAAATCGAAATGTAAAAAAGCAATAACTTAAAAATGCGTCATAAATGTACTTAACAATTTTGTAGCAAAATAAGACTGTATTAATTGCAATGATTTGTTTCCTTTTTTGCTCTTCAGTTCCCCCCCCCTCAATCTGGTGTACCGATTGGTCGTTCCATGCTGCTCCCTTCATGTCGAGCAAAACTTTGTATGAATAGTGCACAATCCGGTATATTACGAAAAAGACGTAGAGCAAATTCTTATGGATGCGCATACAGTCTATGCGATATTGCTCGGCGGTCACACTTAAGATCGCTTTGTCCGTTGTGGGGGTCCCCCCCACACCCCCTTCATTGTCTTGAACGCACTTATCACCCTTCTCGTCTTCGTTTCCCGCATGTCCCACTTCGCATCCCCCATGAGGGGTGTCTTTCCCCCCTTTTTTACTCAAAACGGTCTTCTTGACATCCCCACCTGGGGGCAGCCCTTTCTTCGATTTTCCTACCCCAGGGATATCCACACAGGTAGTTTCCCCGCCCCAGTAGGTTCCCCCACCCGTGATCCCCTTACTGTGCATATTTTTTTGCGCAATTATTTTGTCAACCTTTGCTTGTAGTGCTTCCCTCAAGGCACCTTGTCCCGCCTCAACGAATTTCACAACCGAACGGTAAGTCAAGCCCTCCACATTTTTTAAAGCATAATTATTATCCTCATCAAAAAAGAGATTGTACAGATAACCATCCAAGCTGGAATTTACTAGTATGTAATCCCCCTCTTTTTTAAAGAGCAACATTTCCCTCAGGACGGTGTAGGTCTGATCAAGGTGATGGTGAAAATTTTTGTGGAAAATCTTCTTAACCAACTGATCGAATTTTTTTTCTTCCTTCTTCCATCTGTACATAAAGTACACATCGAAAATGTGACTGAAATTATTTCTCTTCCTATTTATTTGGTGAAAATAGGTAAAGAGATTTTGGTTCAACTCTTTGTTCAGCATGTAGTGGGAGAAGGCGGCCTGCCCACTCGGGGGTTCACTTGCGTTTCCGCTCTCCACATGTTCAACCTTGCTTTGTTCACCCATGCTCTGTTCATATTTGCTCCTTATTTTCTCCTTCATATTGTTCAACCTGCCCTGCTCATGTACCTCCAATTCGTACTCCACAAAATACATTTCGCCTCCATTTTCTTCCCCTTTTTGGGCACCAAAGTAAAAGTCAAATGCGTCTTTCAGTTCGCCCGCGTGAGCCCCTTCCTCGATGGTAATGTCGAGGGGGGAAGCTTCACCCGTTTTGTCCGTTTCGTTCACTTCTGCTCCACACATGCCGTTGCCTCCATTCCTACTCTCGACAAACAGCAACTCTGCCACGGCGTGAAACTCAAATAAACAGCGCGACAGTGCGGTGAAGAAATTGGCACAGTCTGTCACCTTTTCCCGCTCAACAGGAGCACCGAAGCCGAGCTGAAGCGTAGCGCTTCCACTGTCAGCTCCTTGCTTTCCTTTCACATCGTCACTCTTCAAGTCATTTGACCCTTCCAGATCAACTTTGCCGCCCTGAAAAGGGGAAGATCCCTCTGGAGGTAACCAACTCGATTGGCTTATCTTCTGAGCTCCCTCCAAGGACTCCAAAAAATTGCCAAAAAAATTTTCCACATCGATGACAACACTATCGTCATCCTCAATTATATAATCACTTAGACAAAGAGCAGTGAAAGGATCATTGCCTCCTGCGTCCTCTTCCTCACCCACGGAAGTTCTTCCATCATGCTCACAAAAGATGAAACTTTTAAACATGCCAAAATGGCTACAAGAGTCATGTGTGCACAAATCAACGCCATTTCTTTTTTGTACAATACTAGAAACAAATTTCTTCACATCTGCATAATTCAACGAGTATGATTTATGTTCCATTTGATGGAGATTATTTATTACTTTTTTCCAATTCACATTTTTGGCAAGGCAGTAGAAGAGGACCATAAATTTGAAGAGGTTAAAAAATAAATGTTTTTTTATTTCCTCCATGTACTTCCTGTGCATTTTCAGAATGTAAGCCATATGCCAAAACATCACATAGGAGATTTTTGGCCCCTGAATATTTTCTTCATTTTCTGCAAATGTGTCTCTTGGGTTAAGATATATATATTTACATATTTTTATGATCCCGTCGAAGAGAAACATTTTCTCAAAGGTGACTTGGACGATGCATCTTAAATTGTTAAGGAGATGGTCGTACTTCATTTTGATTTCCTTCATAAGAGTGGGTTTTTCATTTTGCTCCTCTTCAACTGAATCTGTTAAAAACATTTTTTTCAAATCTTCTATCAATTTTGTATCAACATGTTTATCTGTGGGGATCCCATCACTGTTTGTCTCATTCCCCAATATGTCATTATACTTGTCCTCATCATTCGATTTTCCCAATAGTGTGGAGTCATCGAACTGGGGAGGGCCATCGGAGGGGGTGGACTTTTCCATGTTAAGCTGTGGCCGCATCACATTCATAGCTTCCCCATCCACATTCCCCTCTTGTGCTGACTTCAAAATGGCCCTTATTAACAAAATATGTGTCTTACAATTACGCAGATAAAGTAACACTTTCCATATTTTTAATTTTTTATAATTTGTTTCGGCTTTCTCTAAAAGATGAAGGTAATTATTTAAACATTTAAAGAAATTTTTAAAAAAGACTAACGAGTCGTAGCTTTTTTTCTTTTCCTTTTTCATCAAATACATCTGGTAGAGCGGGTCCTCCTTCTGGGAAAAGTTCTTTTCAATAATTCTCATTTCTCTGCTAAATTTTTCTATCATTAAAATTTGCTCACTATAATCATTTTTTATTTTATTTTTGTTCATGAACTTTTCCAGCTTTTTACTTCTCTCAATTATTTCCTCATCAAAATGGTTAATTAGTTTGTTCAAGTCTTTAAAATCGACATTCTTCTTGTTCTGCAAAATTTTCTTCACATTTATGAGGCTTACATTTTTGTTTTCCACAGGGTGTCCTTCTGAATCGTCCTTGTATTGTTTCCTTCTCTCCGTAAGGTGCTTCTTACCAGGTGGTGCATCGTTCTGTGGATAGCTTCCCTTCTCATCAGTGGGTTCACCACATGTCTGCTTCTCCCCACTTTGACGTGCGGGTTTCAAATGGTCCTCACCCTGGGGAATTCCTTCCCCTTGGTCATTCTCCCCCGGTTTATCAATCCCATTCGTTTTGTTTATGAAGGAGCTTATGTAATTTATCGAGTTGTTACTCAGGAAATTCTCAAATAGGTTTTTTATTTCCGGTTCATTTTTCTTTTCCTCTTTTTTGACTGTGGTGTTTTCTTTCACCTTCTTGCTTAGCTCCTTTAGTTCATTCATGCTTATAAGTATGAACTTTGGCTTTATCGGTGTGGAGCAGCGATAAAACTGAGTAAATTGGCTTTATCCTAACATCAGCATTAGCATATTTGTGTACGCGTTGTTGCGTTATTAAGTGTACGCGCCCCTTGCATTATTAAGTGTCCGCTGCCCAAGCAAAGGTGACAGTGGCACAAAGAATGCGGGAATAAAAACAAAACAAAAAAAAGAAACAGGCGATTTTTTTGGCACAAAGGGTGGCCACAAATTGGCTGAAAAAGTGACCCAATAAAAAAATTGACAAAATTTTAACAAAGTTTTTTTTTGGACGAAAGATTAATCTTTGACCGCTCTCCCCACAATGCGCAAAAATATCCTGAGATAAAAATGTGCACATGACAGTTGCTAATTCTTGGTGCTTGCATAAACGCGACGCTCATTTTTGCTACTAAAGTGTGTCGTCTGTCCCTTGCAGCATGCGTATCATCTTTTCAAGGACAGCCATTTACACTTGAAGAGCAAGAGAATTATGAGCAGATCGGAAAAAAAAAAAAAACATTGCTGACCCGATGTTCCTTTTAGCTGTACATTTTTGTAATAAAACATAACAAGGGCGTGAACATATGCAGATTGCAAATGCACAGGTGGGCTTTTTTTTTCCACTCCGCATTTTAAGCAACGATGGGTCAAGGCGAGTGGCGAAATGGATAATTTTGCGGAGAAACGCTTGTGACACCAACAGAAAAGCCAGCAAAAAAAAAAAAAAAAAAAAAGGAATATTTGCTTAAATGTATACCGTTTTAATGGGAATAAGAAATAACGCGGCGTGCCACGCCTGGTTACATGGCACGGTATCCTCTGTAGAGCGAATAAAGCACATGGCGTGGTGCCTCTGAAGGGATGCGAAAAAAACAAAAAAAATGTAGCCAAATCGAGCGGGAAAAAAAAAAAAATAAAAAAAAAAAAAAAAAGAATTACATGAATAATATATAAATATATAAATATATAATATATGAAAGAATTACCAAGGGAGAAGGCAACCCTCTTTTGTTTTGTTTAAAAAATATTTTTGAGTACATTCAAAAATGCGCCTACGCGCTGCAGTTGAATAGATCTATTTTTCCACATCCCATTGTGGCATTTCGCCTCAGTTTGCAGCAGATTGTAAGGCAGTTTGCCGCGAGTTGTGGCTGTTCGAGGAAGCCCCCCCAGGCACCATGTATCAACGTTTTATAAAAAATGCCAAAAAATAAGCAACGCGTATCCGTTGATACCAGTAAGATTAAATTTGTTGAGAACTCCGGGTCGGAAGATTTAGAAAATGAGGATGAAGATAATAGCGATGTTGGAAATGTTAGCTCCAGCGACGACATCCTGAGTGACGACGGGCATGAGGAATCCTCGCGCAGAGCAAAAGGAAAAAAAAATATATCAGCCCATGAGGATGATGATGAGGAAGGGGACGATGAAGATGATGATGTAGACGACGATGAGGAGGACGAGGACCAGGGCGAGCGCGATGACGAATTCGTTCGCGTTCCATGGAAAAAGGATAAACAGAATTACTACCAATACGAAAGCGAAGACTCAACGAGTGATGATGAAGAAGGCAATAAGGAAAGAATCAAAGAAGCCATGTACCTCAGCAGAAAGGAAAAGGAAAATTTAAAAGAAGAAGACTTCGATTTGTATGACATGTACAATGAAGACAAAGAGGGCAAGTTGGGAAAAGGGGCAAAAGAATTGTACACCGCCCATGAGAAGGAAAGTATTATTAAAAAGCTAATCAGCGATATGAACGCTGATATGAGGGAAAAAAAAAAAAAAGTGGCTGAAGAAAATGGTGATGGAGAAAATGACCAAGAGGAACAGATGAAAGAAGATGATCAAATAGATCATATGGTAATGAGCGAGCGAGAGGAATACAAAATTTTGTTAAAAGAACTGTCACTGAACATCCAAAAGGTGTACAACGAAATTAAGGAAAACAAAAGACTTTTCCAATTTAAGGAAATTAATGAACACAATGTTAATCAAGCAGATATCAATAAGAACACCCTCCTGTACCTTAAAAAGAAAAACGAAACGATGCTAACCTATATCATATACATCACGTACTACGTCTTTCTTAAAATTATGAATGCCTATACGCACAACCATCCCGTGTTGGATAAGCTAATTTACATGAACACCATAATTGCCAAGACGAATGAGCTCGATAATAAAATTAAGTTCAAGATTCAGCAGCTGAACAAGTCGTCCTCGGGTCGCCAGCTGGGCGAGTTGGACGCGTCGGGAAGCGAAGAGGCAGAAGCGCCCAAGCGGGCCGGCCGACGCAGCCACGCGGGGGATGAAGTGGACGAGGATGACGAGGAGGAAGATGATGAAGATGAGGAAGAAGTGGATGATGACGAGGAAGAAGACGATGAAGAAGCGGAGGAGGAGGACCAAGTGACGGACTCCGCAGAGGAATCCCAAGCGGGCAAGGGCAAAAAGTACAAAATCAGCAAAAACCTCATAACCGAGTACACAGACAGCCATATCCGGGAAAGGGAAAGAGAGGAAAAGAAAAAAAAAAGAGAAAAAATGAAAAATGAAAGAAACATATTCCTGAAGGAAATAAAAGACATGGTGTCCACAAGACCAGAAAAAATAGAAGAAGAAAATTACTTTAAAAAAATGGAAGAAAAATTAATGAAGTTTGACGAAAAAATCTTGAAGAAAAAAATCAAAGCCTTGAGCAAAAAAAAACACAAAATGAGCAACTTGAAAAACGTGGGAATGACCTCAAATGATTTGCTAAAGTTTGTGGAGCTGCCAGAGATGAATGATGAAGCGGATAGGAAGAACAACATGGACGAAACAAAAATGTTTAAGAATAACATTAACAAAATGAAGCAAATGAAGTATATGAAAGGAGCAAACAACGCCAATGATGATTTTGTTTCCTTTAAGAAATTTGAAAAAAACAAAAAATGGAACAGCTCGCATGAGAGGGAAGAGCTTGGTAAATCTACTCATTTTATGAGCACCAAAAATTTACAAAACGAAATAGACGACGAAAATATTAAAAATATGTTAAGCATGAAAAAGAAGAAAAAGGAAGAAAAAAAATTCCTCAAGGATCAGAAGAACAAAGAAATAAGAAAAAAATTAGTTGATGAAGAAAACGAAATTTACGACAGAAGAATGCCGAACAAAAATATTTTACAAAATAGAGGTCTCGTAAGAAAGAGAAAATCAACCGATGGAAATGCAAGGGTTCACAATAAACAAAAGTATATTAAAAAAATGAAAATGTACAGCGGCCAACACGCCAAATTAAAGGTCCATGAAAATAACTATTCAGGAGAAAAGAGGGGAATAAATCCCTACCTGAAAAAGTCCATAGATATCAAGTGATCGCGTGGACGCAAAAATATGCAGACGATTTGGTCAGCCCAGCTGTCCCGAACACATCGTTATACGGAGACCCAACGTATTTACCAACCCAGGAGGGAAAATATACATTTACAATCCCTTCTTTTTTTTTTTTAAGCTACTCACATGTGCATGCCTGGTGTTGCACACGCATTTGTTACCTCCCCCCGTTGGTGAAAACGTTTAAGCACCATTCGTCAGCTCCCTATATTCTCATAAAAGTTGGTGTCCTCAAAATTTCCAATTTTTTGTAAAAAAATTTTTTTTTTACATATAGTTTATTTTTCCTGTTTGGAATACGCCCACAGGGGTATATCTCCCCTTGGGTTGTTCTATACCTTCTTTTTTTTTTTTTTTTTTTTTCTCCATTTGCGAACATTCGAAAAGACTTCTTTTCTTTTTTTTATCTTCCCCAGAGATGCCCGTGTACACACATGGCAGCTTTGTGATGTCACGGGCCCAGTGGGGCAAGGGCACATGTGTTCAACGAATTTGTTAATTTGAAAAGAAGGGGGATACTATGCACAGACATAGTCTCTATACTTCACGTTTTCCATTTAGGGGAACGAATGGTCCCGTGTATATTTTGTGTACTCACATATGTGAAGGTACGCATGTACACATATACCCATGATGTGTGCACTTCAACGAATTGTGGCCAAAATGCCCGTCGCGGAGCCAACTGTTCTTAACCTGTCCTGATGGAAACATTCTGCGAAATCGATGCGTGCCAAATGTACACCTTCGAAGAGGTCCGAACATAATTAAGCAACACATTTCAAGTGGGAAAAAAAAAAAAAAAAATCAGAATAACACGATAATGTAATAACATAATAGCTGCATAACAGGTGAAGAATTCACACCCACACAAGGATTAGCCCTTTTTTTTAAAACGTATGTGTGTCATACAGTGACAGCTATTACTATTTTTTTTTTCACAGCAAGTTGTATTGCCAAAAAAAAAAAAAAAAAAATATTACGGCATGGTCAGGTTGAGATAGAGCAGGAGGATAAATTAAAAATTAAGCCAAAAGGGAAGCGAAAGGGAAAAACGCATAAAGGTAAGGTACTCCGCGCGGAAATAATGAGAAATGGGAAAAGCCCACCAACAGGGAAGAAGAAGAAGAGGAATAGGAAGAAAGCGGAAAAAGAGGATCGCAGAGCGTGGCGAATCTGCCAATGTACCACTTTTCCACACTATGCCAAGCGCAGCTGGACATAAAAAAGAGCCCAGCCAAGGAGTCCCTGCTTTTTTTTTGTTCGTTACACCTAACATTTTGATTTTGCGTCACTTCGTTTTGCTTCCACTAAAATGAAAAAAAATGCATACCTCATCCTGGTTTACGGCATTTACTCCATTCTCATGTTTTCTCTGTCCCTAAGAATGCAAAAAAATATATTCAAGTACATAACTCCCATTTCGAAGAGACTGAATTTAAGCAAGTTTCGGAGAATCAAAATTTTCAGGAGAAATCAGCGCAAGAGGGTGAATGTCTTCAACGATGTTGTGAATAAGTACATAGGTAAGTTATGCGCTTGGTTATCTCCGCGGTGGGGTGTCCACTCGGGTCCACACGGGTGCCCTTCTAAGGGGGCACACATTTACCGCTACCCCTCGTTGTCCCTCCCCCTCCCAGCAGGACTGGACATGTTCTTCAGAAAGCTGAACGACGTAACGGACACCCGGCAAAAGTTGAACTACATAAACTTCCTTCACAGAATTGTGGAGGACAAAACATGTGAGCACCTGCTCTTCTCCAATAATCACATAAGAACAATTATATACCTACTAAATGAGAGATTTCTAATTCTAAAAAAAAATGAAGACAAAAATGAACAAGTAGATTACCAGATCATATACAAACTTTTACTCATATTTAACAATTTGTCACAGCATAAAAATTTTTATCGAATTATTGTAAACGACTTTACACATAAAAATGAGAAAATTTCTCTTCTGTATATTATTATGAATATTCTTAATGAAAAGGAACAGACAAATGAGACATATAAAGAAGCCAACTCTTTTTTTAGTTACTTCATATCCCTTTTTAAAAATAACTCAGATGGAACCAAGAGTCAGGATGTGGAAGACACCTCTGAAGGGGGAGCAGAGGCCAAGGGGGAAAAAGAGAAAAATCAAATCAAGAAAGAAGATATAGAAGAAATGAAAAATAAAATAGTTTTCCTAGGGAAAAATATACTGCTAAAATTGAAGGAGGAAAAAATGAAAGAAGAGGAAATGTCCAGAAGATATGGCATAACTGATCATGGAGAAATGCTTACCAGTGTGCCATACGTACCAGAAAATTTCCCTGCACAGGATGCCGATCACACATCGGAAAAAAATCGGAAAGGATATGCCAACAATGTACATGACGGTGTAAATTCACACTTTGACCAAAACAAAGAAGAGAACAAAATGGAGAGCTCTAAAACGGCCAGTGTGGCGGGGGCCATAGCTGGCCAGGGTGATCCCCATAAGAAGGGTAACTCATTTGTGCACAGCGATAGCTACGATGCGGGGGACAACTCCCATCCGAGGGATATGGAAAACGATGAGGTAAACGGAGAACAGGCGATAGGGGCCTCCACCGATAACGTACTCTTCGTCCCCTTCTACTTCAACAAAAACGCAAAGGACAATATTCTAACCAGCGTGCTGGTGCAGTTTCAAAACGAGAATAATGTCATTGTATATAAGAGGAAGACACGTGCGGGAAATCAAGACCAAGCAGGAGAACAACCCTCCGTGGAGAAACTCAGAAAAAAAAACATTATAAACGGCCCAAACAGCCTGAACAATGTAAGCAACACGATAGAATGGATAGGAGAAGAATACAACTGCAACAACTATTTCGATATTTACGAAAATTACGCAGAAGACGATGTGGACATATTGAAATATGAGAAGAACAAAAACGGGAAGAGGCTCCACATCAGGGAGGGAAGAAGTGATAGGGATGCAGGAGGTGAAGACAAAGCGAATGCCGTGGATGATGTACATGAAGAGGGGCGAGAAGTGGAAGGCGAAGACCAACGAGAAGAAGACGTCCATGAGGAAGGAGAACATCAGGAAGCACTAGAAGAAGAGGATGAAGAGCTAGAACAACAAAGCGACTATGAGGAAGATTTACAAAATGATAAACAAGAAGAGAAGGAGGAAGACGAAAGTAATTTGGACCAACATAAAGTGAACGTCGTTTTGAATGACTATAATGTGGATATTAAAGATGTTGAAATTAACCCACAGGCTAAGGTCAATGGGGGCTCAGAAAATAAAACCCGCTTCCTAAATATGGGCTTACTAGTACTTATAAAGAAAATTGAAAACGGGAAAGAGGACCGATGGGTGAACCTCAATACGGGGGGGGATCCAATGGGAAGGGGAATATATGAGTCTTCCGAAATGGAGCCTAGTGGCCGCTCTTCGTACACTGGGCATGTTGCAGGGGATACCCCATATGGGGGAAACACACCAACAGAGCAGATGGAGCAGACGTACATAAACAGCGCAGATTTGAAGCAGACGTTTTACGGAACAGGAGAACCGCAAAGGGAGGTGGCACCCATGGAGGAGTACGAAAAAATATACGTGAAACGTACTGAAGGGGGAGGGGATGCACCAAAACAGGACAAATACATCCTCACCGGGTTCATACAGCTAAACCTAGATTTGTTGAAAAATTTCAAAGTGAACAGTGAAGAGAAGGATGCAAGGAGAAGCAATTCCCTTCATTTGGCCAGCCCTTATCTGAATTTCTCCCTAGTGGAAAATTACATCGAGTCATTATTCAAACACATTGACCTGAACGACTACTTCACAAACAAGCTACTAAAACTACTTTATGAAATTTTATCTGAAAATAAAAACTCGGTGGTGTACAATTTGTACTACCACACAATTATGAAGAAGGACAACATGAATAAGATTATAAGAATATTGTCTAGAAATGTACAAAATAATTTAAATCGAGCAAATATCACTCTCATCCTGAGGATCCTCTACATCCTATCCTTTCATCAAGCCTTCTACAGAAATGGATTAAACAGCTTAAGGAAAAACAAAAATTACACACTTCTGTATGGAAATGTGGCAAAATATATGGAAGACATAAAGGCAGGAAGCTTTATTAAGGAATTGCAAAAGTGGGATAAACTGATTGAGTGCTTAAAAACGTTAACTCTCTTTTTCGAATGTAAGTACACAAATCAGAACTCGCTTTACATATCTGATGAGAAGAAGGAGCAGTTTCTCTTGGATAATAAGATTTTTAAAAAAAAATTAAACAATATTTATAATAGGCATTTTATTTGCGAATATAAAGATCTTATTATCATTCGAAAAACGAACATTTTGCTAAAGGCCCTGGGGGTGAATATGTTCGATCTGTACAATGATATCGTTTGTTCAGACAGGGAAAAGAAGCCCCATGATTATTTGATGAAGGAAAGTGAGCAACGAAGGGGACTTTTCCATCATGTGGGGAATGCCCTTTGGGGATATTTTGCAAAAGCGAGGAGGTACATGCAGAGGCAGACCCTGGACGATTGTCTCCCCATGGAGGATTCCAGGAGGGCTGGCCCCATCCTTGGTGAGAGCAGCGGTGTGAGTTCCCTCCCTGCGGAAGCACAAACGAAGGCAGAGGGCACACACACACAGAACGGAAGCGCACCCACTAAAGATACACCGGAACAAAAAAGTATAAAGAAGCGAACATATATATATGACCTGAACAGCAAGGAACACATAAGTATGGACAAATTTCGAAACCTAGTAATCGAATTGAAAAAAAAAAAAAAAAGAAAATTGAGAATCTTATGTTTGGATGGAGGAGGAATGCGAGGATTACTCTCCATAGAAATATTAAAATGTATAAATAGCCATTTGAAAAAAAACATTTTTGAATACTTCGACATCATCTGTGGTACAAGCACAGGCGCCATCATATCCATTCTGATCGGCCTGGAAAAGGCACACTTAAATGAAGTCGAATTTTTGTATAATCTGTTGATTAACAAAATTTTTCAAAAGGACACGTATGCAGTGAGGAATACGAGATACTTGTTTAAGCATTCTTACTATGATGCAAATATATTGAGTAACATTTTAAATTCCTTTTTTAAAAATATGAGAATGTTTCATTACAATGCGGACTTTTTCACTCCATACGTATTTACCGTATCGACTCAAATGAATGTCACTCCTCTGCAACCTGTGATATTAAAAAATTACACTGCCAACCTGGTCAAAATTAAAGGTGCTAAAAAGGCAGATGTGCGTGACGCTGTTACATCAACCAATTATGATTATATCGGGGAGCGGGAAGAGGAGAATGGTAAGGAAGACGAAAGGTGGGCAAGTGTGCACAGCAATGAGGCATCGGACGACCAGCAAAACGATGGGAAGGATGCAAATCATGCTATGCACGTGAGAAGTGCGAACGGTGCGATGGAGGGGAATGACGCCAAGGTTGAGGAAGACGTAAACCTTTCCGACAAGACAAACCCTCACACAAGTGACATCTACGTTAACCAAAATATAAATAGCGTGAGTATTTATAAAAGCTTTTACAACATTTTTGTCAAGTACGTATTGAGGTGCACCACTGCCGCGCCAGGATTTTTTAATTTCTTCTCCTTCGACAGCAACATATATGCGGACGGAGCCATCTGCTTTAATAACCCTACCCTCGTAAGCCTCAACGAAATGAAATTAATTTTTTACAACTACCTGCACAGTCGGAAGAGTACCCTAATGGACAAGGTAAAACGCTTTCTCTTCCAAAAAAAAGAATTGGTGGAGGAAAAAAATAAGGCAATCAATTTGAATGATTACATTGACTGCATCGTAAGCGTGGGCACTGGAAAATTTAAACCAAAAAATATAAACGAACTGAACGGAAATAAAACGTATGACACATTCCTGCGGTGGGATGTACTCTTAAAACAAATTGTGTATTCAATCACCAACACGGAATTGACACACGACATCTGCAATAACGTACTCGATAGAAATAAATATTTCCGATTCAACTGCTTCATTAATAATATCAAGTTGGACGAAACGTCCCCTGAAATTATTAACAAGTTGAAGCAAATAGGAAAACGCTACTTCGAAGATCATGCTTATAATCAAAAGAAGCTCATCCAGTTGGTTGACATTTTGGAGGACAGCCGAGATGTGAAGGAGTATCAACAGAGACAAAAGAAGATATGGGGAGAATCCTACCTTGATAGACTGAAATGCAAAATTTCTGGCTTCCTTTTCCCTAATTGGAGAGCAGTGGACCAGGTTGCAACATCACATCAGGGTGGCAGTGCGGAACAAAAGGGGGGACAACTGCCCCCTTCATCTCACCCACTCAACGCAGAGAAGACAGGCGCACAAGCCAATACGCAAACGAGTACACAATCTAACACACGAAGCTCTGCCCCGTATCGAAACTTCAATTTTGGCCTCGTGGACGAAGACGAAAAATTTGACCTAAACAACATTGAAGAAATTCTAGACATTATAAACAAAAGTAACAACTCGGGTAGCAGTACAAGCACAAGCACCTCTAACGGGTTCTTCAACTACTTCACCAACCTCTTCCAAAACAATAATAAATTTCTCAAGAAGCTAGAGAGTGTACACAAAAATAATTTCTTTAGTAGATCCAAGAGGGAAAAAAACGACTACGTTAATGTCGTACCACTTACAGGCATTCGAGTTTTACTAAACGAAATATATTTTATCCTTTTGAAAAAAAACTTATACTTTCACACTGATGTGTCCATCTCTGATGTTGAAGAAATGAGTAAAAAAAATTACGACATCAATATTGATAAAATGATTCCATACAATGTGGCTAGCTCCCAAGGGGAAAAGGGAATCGATGATAATCCTAACGCCCCTGGGGGAAAGAACCAAATACCGTATGGAAACGCCTCATCAGATGATTCCCCCCCCAATGATGAAATTTCAAAAAATGAAAACCATACAAATGCCAATTCGAACGATGCAAAGAGAAAAAAAAGTGTGAACTCATCTAAGGACCCCCCATCTGATGAAGATCTAGACGAAGATAATCATCCACATAACCCTAAAGGACCATCCAGTGGTCCACAACCGAAAAAAAATAATGACTTTCAAAATTCATCATTCAATAGAAATCACACAAGTTATGAACCAGGAGGAAGTTACTACCAGTCTGAAGATACACAAAAAGACGATCCTTTACGCGAGACACTTGTAAGGGACGAAAAAATAAACACGTCCGATATGGTAGACAATTCAGCCATAAATAAAAAAAAAATTCTCAACAGGGATGTAAATATGAACCACGTAAACTACAAGTTTTTTAAATCCATGAGCACGGAAGCAACTGATGGGAAGAAGCAAAATATAATAGAGTTGTTGCGAAATGTATTTTTTAAACGGGAAGCTTAAAAAAATTTTTGGTGCTAGAGGATCCATAGGAGGATTTGGCATCCCCATATCATCCTCGCACTTCCCCGTGGACGCGTTTTTCGCGTTACCCTTTGACCTACAGCGTCACACCGTGGCGCGTCCCTTTTTTGTTTTCCCAAATGACTTATCCATTTGTGCCATGTTTAGTCTCTCTCTCTCTTTTTTTTTTTTTTTTTTTTTTTTGGTGTTAATTTAATCTAAATCAGACTAATAAATATTTTAAAGTTCTTCTCTGAGGATGTAGACACGAGGTAAAATGTCCGCCTCGTAGCAGCGGAACCATTGCACAGAAACGCGGGTTGGTGTCTCATGACCTTCTACCATTCAGTTCATTGACTTGGATTTTTCGTAGGCACTCTCTACTGCATCCATGACTGCGTAGGGGATAAGGGGGAAAAACAAATAAAAAGGGAATATGATGAGTACCACAACACGGGGCAGAGAAGCTCAGATGTGTACAATTTCTGCACACCGCATACGCTCCAGCGTGTTTCCTTACCTGCATATTTAAATGCGTGCTTCTCCATTGTGCTCAAACCCACGATGGTAATCCCACCGGGGGAACACACGTCGTCCTTCAACTGCTGAACGGGCTCGCTCCAGGCCTTAACCATGTGAACGGATCCAAGAATTGTTTGCAGAACTAATTCCTTCGACAAATCCCTATTTAGCCCATTCTTAACTCCCGCATCAATTAAACTTTCAATAAAGTAAAAAACGTAGGCTGGCCCACAACCAGAAACGGCTGTTGCTATGTCCATTTCTGAATCTTTTATTTGATGTATAGTTCCACATGCGCTGAAAATATCGATTACCTTTTGTGTATCTTTTTCATCTACATTATTATTTGTACAAAAAACAAGGGTGCCTTGTCCAACCAGGGCTGGGGTGTTTGGCATAAGTCTCACAATTTTCGCAGGAACGCCCACCATCTGAGAGGGGAAGTAGCGGTAATGGATAATGTAAATTTGGGCACGCATTCGGAGGAACGGTCACATACACATTACATACATGTATATATGTATATATGCATATGTATATGTGTATATATATTTGCTGCAATGATGTGGCGCATCCCCTTTGCAGGAGACAAAATCGAATGGACAAAAAAACAGCTTCTTCCTTGTGTACCTTTTCCAGGGTTTCCAAGTTCAGTCCACCACAAATGGAAACGATCAATTTAGAGCCTATGTATTCCTTTAAATAGAAACAAAAAAAAAAAAGTGGGGGGAAAAAAGAGGAGGGTAAAATGTGGCAAGTGAACTCTTGAATATACAAGCGCAGTAAATATGATCATCTATGTACACCTGCAAAAGCGCTTGTGCACCTTGCTCTCCACATTTTTCAATCGCCCATGTGAAGAGCGAAGAGCACCTCCTTTTGTCCTCCATCTTTTGTACCTTAATTTCCAATAGTACATTTGCAGCAAGGTCTGGTTTCACAGCTATCACAATTACGTCGCATGTCTTGGCAACCTGCAGAGAGACGAGGGGGGAGGTGGAAGGGATTGGTGGTAATTTTCTTCAAAACATTAAAATGATTATTATGCATGGCATGCCCTCGCAGGGTTAACTCATCAATGAAGGCATGGGCAAAATTTCTGCAACTCCCCAGGGCCAACGCCTTTATATATGCTCCTACCAGTTCATTAGATTCGAGGAAAACAAAAGGATCATCCTTCTTATATGGCGTGTAGTAATAAATATTTTTATGCCCAATGAGCTTGCATTTTCCTACCCCATAGGCTAGCGCCGTGCCCATTTTTCCTAGACCGATGAATCCTAAACATATGGAGAAGGGAGAAAAGATGCAGCCAAACAAATTTTTACAAAAAGGTAAAAGACTGAGCTATGGGGGGGGGGAGCCAACTGTAAATAGCTTGGCCCATTTTTGAATGTCTTAGTAAGGACACGCTCCCCGTGGAGAAAAGGGGCCTCCAAAGGGGACGTATACCATGACGACATGCTCATATAACCGTTATCTACACATGCAGGGTGACGTCAAGGCATTTATTAGGGTTGACAAAAAAAACAAATAATAACTTACCCACGCGGATGCTTTCCATTTTGTTTGTAGCGGTTGCTTCGATGAGTTGGATTTACGAAAAGAGACTTTTCAATACAGTTCAAGGGGGATACTATTATAATTCCCTTTTGTTCTAATTTTTTTTTTTTTTTTTTTTTCTTACGTATTTGATTGGAAACTTAGAATGGGGAAGAAATTTTTGGTGGTTGCAAAATGTTGGGGTGGTTTAGCAAGATGACAAAAATACTTCCACGTATAAAAAAGAGTATAAAAATTAAAGCATAACAATAAAATGATAACAAGCGGGGAAAGAAAGTAAGTACGACAACACAACCCTATTAGCCACCGCAACCGATGGAAAATGGATACCCTTGTAGAGGAACCATTCTCTCTCCATCTAAAAATTGCCGCATGCAGCGCATTTTTTTCTAACGCCCCTTGTGCGGAACAACGGGATGAAAATTAGAAAAATATGTATGCCACCTCCGCGCTCTTATAAAAGTCCCTACGCACGTTAACATAAAATTTATTTAACACTGAAAATATACAATTTTGTAAATCATGCTGCGTGTTCCTTTTTTACAATGCCGCTTGGGGGAGTAATAACTGCGCGGAGAATTAACGGCACGCCACACATGTGCCTCTCCTTTCCCCATAATGAATAAAAAACGATTGACGTATGAGTTGCACAGTTAACGTTTTTTTTTTTTTTTTTTTTTTAAGATAAAGTTATGGATAAAAAATGGTTCCAAAAAAAAAAAAAAAAAAAAAGGATACCTAACGGGTCACCGAAAAGAGCTACCGTTTCGATGAATGATAAGGTTATGTATTCTCAACTTGTCATGGCCACGGAAGGAAAACAATAGGGAAAAGCTTTGGGGGAGTAACACTCACCCCCTGTTTAGCTACCCGTGATGGGTTCTTCAACGCATATAAACGGCTGTCTGGCAAAGTATGCAAACACCGTAGCAACAAAATGGAGCATTAGTCATGGGCAGAAGGACTATTCTTTAGAAACCTCTCGCTGAAAGACACAGAACTATATTTGCATGTGCACATCAAGGGCTGTGAATAAATAAAGGCGTGACTTGGATGGTTATCCTGCTCCTTTAATTGTCTGCTATATACCCGCCTACTTTGCGAAAAGGGCCGCTTGCTTCGTTGAAGCTTTTACATGTTTGGGTTGACTTTCAAACTGGGCAGTAATAAATGCTAAGCAATTTTACTCTCTGAACAAAATCTGCTTCGCGTCGCTTGGTTTTTTGTTTTGTGGGGACGGTGTGTGTGTGTTTACCTACAAATGACCGTGTCGTCAATTTTGAGAATCATCATGACCGTCTCGGTAGCCAATTTAATCGCCGTGGAGGTGACAAGCAAAGGTTGTATGACATTTTCATCAATCATATTCGAAATGGTACCCGTGCGAATATTTATGCCAAAGTACTTATGCCCCTCTGCATGTTTGTTCCTCAATTCTGTGACAATATGAAGTGGTGAGAGCCCTGCGTTTTCTGCTAACGTGTAGGGGATTAATTCCAAGGCATCTGAAAAGGCTTTAACGCAAATTTGTTTAGACCCCTTCAGAGTATTTGCCCATTGGTATAACTTTTGTGATAGCTCCATTTCTGGGGCAGCTCCTCCAGGTAAAATAGCTCTTTCCTTAATTAAGCTTCTAACAACACAGAGTGCATCGTGTAGCGATCTTTCCGCTTCGTCTAGCATAAGATTATTTGAAGCTCTCAACAAAACAGAAATGGTATTCTTGGACTCCACTCCTGTAATTTTAACAATTTCACCATACCCAATAGATTCTGTGACCACGCTTTCAGCATAGCCTAACTTATCAGGAGTGAAATAATCTAAACTGGCAACAGGAACACAATTGCAAGTTTTAGAAATGAATTCTATGTCCTCCCTTTCGATATCTTTTATAACCATAATTTTAGACTTGGATAAAAAGTCCAGAGCTAAATCATTTACTGCATCCCGCAAAATACTCTTCTGTATGAGTAATAAGTTACAACCAGTCGCGGCAATTTTTTTAATCATCTTTGCAATTATTACTCTCTCTTCTCTCAACAATCTATCCATGCTGTTATAATCTTTCACGACCACCGTGTTGTCCATGTCTGTTTTGGGCAAAGACAAGCAGAATTGTATGAGTCCAATTTTAGCTTGTGATAAATTTTTTATTGCATGGGCTCGCTTGCTAATTTTATTGCTTGTAAATATCAGGCCATCCACAATTTCTGTGTCTTCAATGGTGCCTCCCAATTTTTTCACAATTCGGATATTGTTCAAGTCCACATTCCTGTCCTTATTAATATCTGTGATTTTTAAAATAACATCTACAGCTATAGGAGCCAGGAGGGATGAATTATGAGACACCACCTTCGAATTCAAAGATGTTATTGCATTCTGAATTAACATATTTTTGTCATTTAGGTCTATTGGTATGGACATGCTTCTTAATATTTCTTCGCTCTTCAATGACGCCTCGAAAAAACTTTCCGAAATTTTCTGGCAGTGAATATTTTTGTCTAGCAAAGATTTACATACATTTAGCAAGGACCCGCACATGACCACTACGGAGGTCGTTCCATCTCCTGCCTCTACGTCTTGCGCCTTGCTCAGCTCTACAATCATTTTTGCCGTTGGGTGTGCCACTGCCATTTCTTTCAAAATCGTCGCTCCGTCGTTCGTGATGATCACTCCTCCTTTTCCGTCCTCAATCTGAAGGGAAATTAAGCAGAGGGGGGGGTGCGGATGTAATTACATAGCGGGGTGATAGTGCACATGTCGCACTGTGTAGCTCGCACACAAAAAAATAGCCACTGTGCAACGGCTGCACACGCGTACGAACCATTTTATCCATGCCCTTTGGACCCAAGCTAGTTCTCGTCACGTCCGCCACGGCCTTCGCCGCCAAAATGTTCATCTGCCTCACGTCGCTTTGCTTTTCATTTCTGTTCAAGTTTTCAGTGTTCCTGTTTTCTACAATGAGAGGAGGGAAAAAGGGATTTCGAAAAATTTATGTCGCTATGATGGAGAGTAACTGCTAAACCACGTGCAGCCTATGGATGGGGCACTCTCATCATATAACCCTCCTGGTGTCGCACTAACGCGTGTACACGATCAGTGGTAAAAAAGAAAGAGCAACATGTTAATGTATATTGAACGGGGAGGGCTCATATGTATGGAGATCTTTGAACAAAAAGGCAGCCACGCCACACCGTTGGTGTAGCAACAGGTCAAACATTTTGAATACACCCAAGAAGGAAATGCATAGCAGAAAAAGAAAAAAAAAAAAACGCACTTTTCCCTCATTTGCATATACACAAAGAAATCAAGCGGAGGGGCACTCGTTTCGGAAGCCCCCCTTCCATATGTAGAATGTCCCTCCCCGTAAAAGCATTTCGCACACGTATTGTATTACTTGCAACTTCAGCCATTTTTGTTGATCCTACTATACAGGGTTAACTGTTTTGTTTCTCCTTTTGTGTGTGGCTTATCCTCAATAGGGTTGGATGCTCATATGTGCCTTTATGCCCTTACGCGGGAGTGCTGCCTGTTCTATGTGGTTAAGACTTTGCAAAGCTGACACAATCCAGAAATGGAAAAAAAAAAAAAAAAAAAAAAAAA